ACCTGTGGTTGAAAATATGTGGCTGTATCAAAAACCACTTGATTTTTATTTAAAGAGAAGAAAAAGTTTTGGAAATTCCTAAAATTTCCTCTACCAGATCATATGAGCCAAACTTTTAATTCTAACGAACATGCTTCCCTTTGGGCCCATAAATATTGCCTATGTTTATTATTCAGAGCCATTTGGGGCCCTTAAATAAAAACACATATAATTCGATATTTCCTCACAGTATAACTCAAAACACCAGAAGTATATTTCTGAATTAGCATTAGCGGCTGTGTTTCTGTGAGCTGTATAAACAAGGAAAATGTTCTTATTATCTTTAACTGAGGGCCTAGAACAACTTGTTAATCAGTTTGACAAAGTTTATTGGAAGGGCTTAGTGTTAAGGTGTGTATTTTCCTCTGACCTGCTAATTAAATGAGGGTTAATACTTGTAGAAATAACATGAGTTATTCAGTAGGGAGAAAGGCCTTTAAATAGAAGAAGCAAACATCAGAAATTTCTGAACATATTGCATATCTTCTGTTTGCCAGCCATTTGTACCAAGTTAGCATTCTTGGTATAAACAACAGAAACCAACTTTGTTTAACTATGTAGAAAAGGAGATTATTGGGAGACCATTGGCTCTCAGGCAGAACTGATGGGAGGGCGAAACAGCCAGGCTCAGAAAGCAGGCCAGGACCGAGGGAGGGAAGGTGGCTAGAACTTCAGCCCCATGCACGGCCCCAGGGAGATGGACACGCTCTGGGACACACTGCTGGCCCTGTGACACTGCCATTGTGCACTGACTGCAATCAGCGAACGCTGCCAGCCTCAGAATGGACTCTGAGCTCTCCCCTGATTCTCCGGTTACTCAGTTCAGTTGTAGGTCCCAGGCTGGAGTATCAGCTTGGCTGATCGGAATCAGGGAAAATCTCCCTCCCTCCAGCATCTGTGGTGGGAAGTGGGCTGTGCTCCTGACAGTCCCCGGGCTAATGTAGGAAAGACACTTGGATCCTGGGATCCTCAAATGACGAACGCCCACTACTTATAGGAATGCTAAATGATTGGGAACTGTTTAGTTGTTACGTTTATATTGTATTTAAAATGATAGGAAAGTGATTGGTGTTTTAAGCATGTTTTCTGAGAGCCAGTAAAGAGAAAAAGGAAGCATGTTTGCAGGAAAAATGGGGCCGACTGGATTTTGGTAGGTGGCAGTGGGGTGGAGGGAGAAAACATGGGGGCAGTTTACTGTTTTGGGGGCTCAGTGAGTGGAGGTGCCACTTACTGAGAAGGACGGAAAAGAAAGATCACAAGTGTTCTTTCTTAAGGTGATCTCCACGGAGGGCACGTTATATCCGTTGTGCCTGTAGGACATTTTAAGAGAAACATGCGTAGTGAGCAGATGAAGATTTAGATGTACAATTCTGAAGCTGGACTAAAGTGGGAATTATGAGTCACGAGCATATTGATGGGAATTTAATCCTTGGAATTGGGTGCGGTTGCCCAGTGAAAACTGGAAAGGGGGAGAGACCGGATTTAGAGCATAACCCTTCGTGGCCGTGTAAGAGGCAGGCCATGGAGCGGAGCTCACAGAGCAGGCTGAGAAAGTGGGACCCAGGTTGCGGGAGGAAAAGAAAGATAACGTTTATCTTCTCTACTGAGACTTCATCAATTACATGTTCTAGACCAGTGGCTTTTCAGACATTGACTGTGTGTCAGAATCACCTGGGTGCTTGCCAAAAATTTGGTTTCCTGGACCCATCTCCAGAGAGTCCTCTGTAGCAAGTGCAGAGCGGTAGGCATTTCTGCATTTTGAATAGGCATCCAGGATGATTCTAACATAGGCGATACCTGAATTTCCTTGAGAAACACCTTTCTAGGAGACAGTGCGAAACGGGCAGCAAGGCTTTGGAATCAGATTTACGTTACGGTCCTGGCTTTTACTGCTTACTTGTTGTGTGGCCATGAACAAGTTGGTTATTTTCAGGTTTGATTTCCCATCAGTGCTGGAGTATGATCAGTGCCTTCTCTCTCTTAGAATTATTACAAGGCGTGTAAGAGATATGCTACATTAAATTACTGGCATATAGAAGGAGCTCAGTAAATGTCAGTTGTCTTTTTGGCACTTGAAAAGCCCAGAACACAGCTATAAACCTAAAAGCCAGTGAAAAAGGGGAAGGAAATAGCTTTCATTAACCTCACGCATTTTGTTTTGTAAGAGATCAGAGCCAACTGCTTTTTACCTTGAGTCTACTGAATTAGAATTGTGTAAAATTAAGTTACTGATTTAATAGATTTCATTATCTAGGTTTCTCCTGCAGCCTTCAGTTCTCTAGACCTTACATTCGAACAGCATGGTATAGACAAGGCTAAAGTGTGGCACAGGAGCCCAGGGAAACTGAACGAGGGACCAACTCCTCAAAAATCTTGAGGGCATCAATGTGTTATAACAATATAAAAACAAATACCCTAATACTGCCAGGTCACCAAGGAAACGTTAAATTCTGTTGAAAAGAATTGAATTGTTTGAGAAGTTAGGGAAGTATATATTTCAGACAGATTTCCGTTATAATCACTAGAGTTTGGGCACTTAAAGGAGTAAGCTTCTGCTACTTGGGAAGCTCACTTAAATGAAATGAACTGTCTTTTACAGTTCTGGGTAGATGAACTTCCATGACCTTATTTCTCATGTGATTGGCATGTTACTGTTTTTAACAGTCTGCCTTGAGTCAACAGGTGACCTTGAACCTGTCCCTGAGGTCACTGCGGAGCGAACCTATATGTAAACTACTATGGATGGCCATTGCATGCTAGGGTTTCTCCTTCCCCTCTGTCTAGGAGAGAGGCTGATGTGAGGGGAGGCGAGCAGGGTCTGGTCATAGTTGGATTTTGCCCGTTTCATGTCTTGAGTTTCCCATCTCACACCAGCTGCTTGGAAATATGGCTGCTTTATGGTTATGGGTTTGCAAATGCCATTGAGGAAGAGTAATGAATGCCCCTCCGTTTTCTTCAGCCTTTCTGGTACTATTTGCTACCCCAGCTTAGATGTTTATACGATTATTTACCCCCTAATACTCAATAGACCACTGAGTAGGTTTAGGTAGTAGTTGCTTCCAGCTACTTCCATAGCTTATAGTGAAAATTAAATCCTTTTGCAGACTAGTGGATCACTGACTAATGTTTCAGGAGCACTTATTTTTGTTGTGTGTGTGTGTGTGTGTGTGTGTGAATGAGAAGGTAGGAAAGTCTGGTAAGTTGTTACCAGCTTTTGTCTCACTGTACCTATAATGCTCCTCACTTGTTTTAAGTGCTCAGTATAAATTTGTTGAATGAGTGAATGAATGACTTAGTCTTCTTTGAGAATTTTCAACTGTGCTTAACCATTTATTATTATTATTATAGCTGTTCCCCAATATTGTTGTCCCAGTTAGGTATTTTGCTAAATATTTCCTGGGAGTACCGTTCCCTAAAATGTGCCGTGAAAAAGGCTTCCCTGGACAATTAATTCTGGGAAAAGCTGTATACTAAATCTTTCTCATAGAAAGTCAGTTAATATGTAAATATATTAAGGGCCTCAAGAAGGCCTGCACTAACAAAACCTGTTAGCTTTATTTAACTCAGAATTTCCCAGACTTATTTGATCGTAGAAGCCTATTTGTATCCCATAAAGCGCACTTTGGGAAATGCTGTGCTAACTTTTATGATTTTTCTGTACCTTACAGTTCACTGTAGGCTGTTTCCACAAAGCACACTTCAGGTTTTGGATGTCAGTTGCTTATTCAGTCATCCAAAGGATGGAAATTATCACTAAATATGATTAGAATGTCTACATTTCAGTCAGGAATTGCTAACTCAGATTTTTTTTTTTTTCATTTGCTGTTTTGAACAAGATGTGATCCCAATAACCTTTTAAAAATGAGTGTTACTTCAGGTATTAAATTAGTATATTTAAGAAAAGGAGATAAATATTATTTGGTGTGTTGAGCTGAGAGAAACCATCACCCCACAGTATGGAAGCATTTCTGTATTTCCCCTGAGCTCAGTAAAAAAGACGGTTGTCCCTATTATTTTAATATTATGTGTTAATCTAGGAAATGAACCTGTAGCTGTACAGCTTTTCTACCAAACTGGCATAACTGGGTGAAATAGAAAAGCTAAATTTATTTTCAGTTTCATAATATCAAATCTGTTATTGTATTCCTGCTTTCTTTTCTTTAATATCTGACTAAAGCCCAACTCGTCTTTTCTTTCGACACTTCGTCATATGGGATGGAAATGTGCTTTCCTAGTTTAATTGTTCACTGGCTGGCCATGAAACCTACTTCCTTTGGTTTGGTTTTGGTAACTAATGCTTCTCTCCTTGCTTCCCTACTCCTCTCCATCTTTTAATAATCTTTCCCCCTCACATCTTTTAATATCAATTTTGTTTTGTTCTGCTTTGCCTTAAACTTAGAGTTTAATTCATGTGAATTTAGGGATTTTTTTCAAAGAAAAGTTGCTTTTTAGAGGCTTTTGAGTGGGGGTGGGGTAGGGTGGTGTTGAGAAGAGAGGGCGATAAACGAAACCCAGCAATTTTTCGTCTAGTCGGCTTTTCCCACGGGCTTACTAAACCTGAAAGTACCGCAGATCTGTAGAGAGTTTGGCTAGCAAGTTTCGAGTTCTTGAATTTTTTCCTACCTGAAAGTGTCTTATTTCCATGCATCCTTCTGGATAAGACCACCATCTTCAGACCTCTTCCTCCAGTTCCCTAACACATCCTTTTAAAATCCAACCATCCCAGGTATTTCTGTACTTTTAGAATTAAAAGTGATACCTAGAAACATTATTTAAACATTATATTAAGTATAATGTTTATAATGTTAAATAATGCAACGTTTTTTTGTCATATAAGCGATATGCCAAAAAATGACTCTTCCCAAGAATTGACAAAGAAAATCTAAATAAAAGCCCATTGACTGGGCGTTTGCACTCAACCATAATAAGTGAAATTCTGGCTTTCACTGTGTCTTCTGCAGACAAACAGCAGAAAGGCGAATTTGCAATAGAAGGCTACGACGTCAGGATGAATACCACCCTAAGGAAGGACGCAAAGAAAGAGTGCTGTTTTGAAATCTGTGCTCCTGATAAACGTGTCTATCAGGTTGGAGTTTTTGTGTTGTTTTGAAATGAAGTTGATAAAATGTTTTGATTTCATTTATAAAGACATTAACATTTTGTTAAAACAACTCTCCCTGGCATTTTAATAATAAAAAATACTGGTTTTCATGCATTGAACATTCATGTAAGAGGTAATACGTTTTTAAAAATTCAGATTAGTTCAAATGATATCTTCTTGAAAAAGAACAAGCGAATATGTGATTTATCAGTTACTTCACATGTTGCATTTTATGTCTATTTTAATAGAACTGTGTGGTTTCTTAAAAGGACTACATAGCAGAAAGAGCAAAATTATCAAAGGGAAAATATCAAGAGTGTTCATGCATATTGCGTTGCTTAGGGTTGTGGGAGAAAATGAAGGTAAGGGCACATATCAGCTCCGCAATTCAAGAGCTATCAGCGAGCATCAATACAGAATGTATGTTTAATAAGTTTTAAATATCTGAGATTGCAGTTGAAAGCCAGTTAATTAAGTTGTCAGATAGTGTGTTGGAATCTGACAAGAACATTTTTAAGAAAACTGCACCCAGCAGTCTAAAGAAATTCATGGGTGTCTTCTAATTGTCAAGGGCAAATTTCGCTCATCAGCTCTGCCTTTGACATTGATGAAGAGAAGCAGCTTTTTTTCCTGCACAGCTGCCAGCTGCTGATCAGAGTTTCAAATCCATCATCCTCTGCTTCAATTACGTAAATTTGTCAAAATTAACTGTACATTATAAGAAGCATCCTTGCAAGAAAAGTAGTACTAGACATGAAAAGAATTACTAATGGTCTTAAAGAAATGATAAGAATGCGGCACACCTTTCACTTCCACTGGGGTGATTTTTCTTGTTATTGTTTGTTTTTTATTAGTTCACAGCAGCTTCTCCCAAAGATGCCGAAGAATGGGTACAGCAGCTGAAATTTGTATTACAAGGTAAGAGCGATCAATTGAACAAGTTATTGCAGTCTTTAAATACCAAATAACCGAACGATCTGGATTTTCATATATCAAAAGCATATTGAATTCCTGTGAGAAGACCAAGGGAACTTGACTGTTGTTAATACAGACCATTGACTTCAGATTTAGAAAAGGATTCTGTTCATTCCAACTGGCAAATTGGAAATTCACATATTTATGCAGCAATCAAGTTTTTAAATGTTTTAAGTTCAGGATGTAGCATATAATGATTGTGACTTTGTGGGGCTGCATTCATTTAAAACACAGGGTTTTGCAGATCTCTTTTGCATCCTTTCAAGTTCATGAGCGAGTAAGAATGGCTGGTTTTCAGGGTATTTGTTACACACCCGCGATGTTTATCCCTGACGTGCTTTGTAGACATGGGATCGGACATAATCCCTGAGGAAGATGCAGAAGGAGGAGAGCTCTATGACGATGTCGACCACCCCCTGCCCCCCAGCGGGTCACCAGCCAGCAGCCAGCCCATCGATGACGAAATCTATGAAGAACTTCCCGGTATGTATTATCTGGGGGTTCATTTAAGGATTTGGGGACTTTTTAAATTGTTAGTGTCATCAGGTTGACAACTTAAGTGGAAAATGGTGAGCTATTAAGGACCAGGACAAAGAACATCTTCAAAATCCTATTTTACGAAAAGGGTTGTGCTTGAGGGGTTTCAAGCGCGTGGAGGTTCACTTGCGAAAGTGAACGGAATGTTAAAATGAAGCCGAGGCGGCCCTAATCTCACGGGACTTTTGGCTCATTAGCATTGTTTATGCTACATAATTTTTTAATTAAAAAATTGACTTGCCTTACAGTTTTTTCCACCGACTCACCCATCATTTTTTATTTATACGTCTTGGAACTTCCATTAGCCAGAAGTTCTATGCACACCCCATATGTCAACAACTTCTGCCTCGTCCATTCCTCCTCGCTGTAGTGTGTGGCATTTTCTTGGAGGAATATTGTTGGACTGTAAACAAAGGCCTTTTAAGACTTGGATTGTTCTGATTTGATATTTAATCGATATGAAGATTTTCTTTTATTCTACATTTTTAAGCATGCGTCAGTGGTCGTGTGCCTCAGTATCTGTCATGTAACATAACATTAATTGTCTATTAGCTTATTTCACTTGCAGTTTTAAGTCAACCTAAAATTAAGAGATTGGCATGTGGAACTTAGTACGCTTAGAATATGAAAACATTCAGGGAATTTTTGCATTACTCTAAATGAGCCTTTTTCCGGCTGTTAAGATATCTGCAGAGAATAGAAGTGATCGTAAGCAGCATAAGTGAGATTTAACTAATACCATCGAAAGAGGCTATTTCTTTCTCTGAATAGAACAATTTAATGATACAGTATAAACCTTAAAACTGATTTTCAAACTACTTAAAATGTTCCAAATTAATGTAAAATGTCACTTTCAGTGAAGTCAGTAAAGCGTAACAACTAGCACATGGACTTTAGAATAAAAAAGTGTAAATTCTGGCTGTACCATCTAGCTCAGGAACTTTAAAAGTCAATTTCTTCATCTATCAAATGGGACTAATATCATGGGGTGGGGGGGTGAGCTAATGTATCTAAATCTCTGAAGACCATGCCTGAGTCATAGAAAGTTCGCAATGAATTGTACACCACTGTTGTTTTCTTTTTTGTTAATCCTCAACTGAGGATATCTTTCCCATTGATTTTTTAGAGGGAGTGGAAGGGAGGGGGGAGACAAAGAGAGGGAAACACTGATGTGAGAGACACGCCAACTGGTTGCCTCCTGAACGCGCCCTGACCGGGGCCAGGGATCGAACCTGCAACCCTTCAGCCGGCGGGCCAATGCTCTAACCACCGAGCCAAACCGGCCAGGGCATATTGTTTTCATTACTGTATCTGGTAAATTCTCACCAGTGCTTATGTGAGGTATCATAATTTTCTGAACAAGTAAGAATTAATGATTTAATGGTGTTATACATTCAAGATATTACAAAAACTACTCAAAATATGCATCTACATACTGTCTTTTACTGCCCTAAAAGGAGATGAGTAGTATAAAAGCGTAACTTTGTGGGGAACAGTCTGTTTTTGTTATTTTAACGAGCTCTGTGTTTATAGCTCCTCCCTTTCCGATTTATCCTAAGGAAATGGCATCTGCCACGGCGTCAGTTATCCTTGGGTGGGAAGAATACTCTCTTGCTTTTCTTCACACCATGTCATTAATACAATCCTTTTAGTTTCAAAATGTTCTTAAGAGCTTGTGGGAATGTACACTGATGTCACGTGGAAGAGTTGACGTCAGCGTCCATTCAAACATAGCGCTGTCACACGCATCTCATTCCTCGCAGCCCTGCGGTGAGCGGGCTGCCTTACAGTTGCTGAACTCGCTGGTAATTAAGCTCTGCCTTCCTTCAGCTTGACCACTCTCTCCCCGCCCTCCCAGGTGAAATATCGGTGAAAAATAAAGATCACATATCCATCGTCATTTTCATGATACAGGCCCCAAGAAAATCTCCTGGCCGCAGCTTGAAATCTTAAAAACAGGAACCAGCCTGGCTTTCTCTCGCTACAGATGCCCTTCTCCCTGTCTTGGGCCTGTGGCCACACGGCTGTTGGGCAGACTGGTCACTCCTTAAGCAGCCTTATTTCTCGCTGTGGTCTGGAGGAAGCCTAAGCTGCTCCGGGGTCCCTGGGCCCGCCTGCAGTCGCAGTTGCTGGACAAAGCGACTGCGCTCCCCAGAGCCTGCAACTGGGCCCCGGGAAGGAGGCGGGCGCGCAGCTGTGGGACTGGCTCTGTCCCAGTGGAACCAACATCTGCACAGTTCACGTTTGTCGGGTTTCAGCCAGTGCCACAGGGGGGATTTTTCTTACGAAAAGCCCTGAAGTTGTCTCTTAGAGCTAGAGCTTTTGTTTGATTAAGTATCTAAACCTAGAAAGGTAACTTTTTTCCTTTAAAAAAAAAAAAAAATTAATCTATCTTCCAGGATAAAAATTAAGCTAATTGCTTTCATTGGGTGAAAGAGGGATATAATGTTGAGAGGAAGTGCAGAGAGTGGAAAGGCACTGGACGTATTTACAAACTGTTGGTGCTTTTCCAGTTCTGTACAAAGAACTACGTTTCTCCGAAATCTGACTGGCTAAATTCCCCGAATTAATAAGTAGGACCACTGCAACCCAGCTTTCTGTCCGTCACACAGAGCTGAGAACTAACTCTCTCAGTTGGGAGATGAAGTGTGTAATGTGTTTGAAGAAAAATCAAGGGTTCAACATGTTACTTTAAATCACAGATTTCTTCTGAGAAAGGAAAGCTCTTATTCTAACAAATGCATTTTTAATATAAAACAAACCTGCAGTGTTTAAGTCTCAAGAGTAAGAAGAAGAAAACACTGTTTAAAAAATTGTATTGCAAAAGATCCCTTGAAAAATGTTTATAATCTATGGGAGTATAAGTAGTTTCATTGTAATTGTTTTTCAGTTAGAATATTCTAACTTTATTACAGCAGCTTCTCTTTAATTTCTTGTTCATTAATTTTTAACTAACTTCATAAAAGAAAGAATAAATTTGTAAGATTTCTTTGTGTTTAGGGGATTTATACATATGTGCAGAAGAGTCGAGAGAGGGCTACTTCTGGGGAGTATCAAAAGTATGTGCCTTTTCTTCAAGTGCCCTAACGCTTTGACACCGTTTATGACTTAGGACCTGTTAGCATAGGCCAAGTCAGGTTTGCTTACATTGTGATGTTACTACAGCATGTTTGCGTTTGTGGAGCTAATGTATTGATCAGAGTGCTCAAAGTTAAACTGTTCCATAGCACAGTAATGAGTTCATTTGGCTTAGCACAGATTTCAGAAGTTATTGCTCATTTCTCCATTAGAAATGCAGAGGAGCATATTTATTTGATTTTGAATCTTAAAAAGAGAAAACAGTACTTGGGAAAGTGCTGCAGAAATCAACTCAGCTTGCTCATCTCCTCTAGTTACCATGTCACTTGCTTTTTAATTTTTAATTTTTTTTTATGTTGGGAGCGACAGAAACAAAAAGATTTTTCTAGATATATACTGAATAGAATTAGCACAGTAACAAGAATGGTAACTAGCCATTAGCCTATTAAATCTGCAGCTTTCAGGGGAATTGCATTTGAAATCCTTCTGACAAGTAGACTAGAGGAGAGGGGCCAACATAAAACAGGAAGACAAATTTCCAATTCCATTAACCTGTTTTTTAAAAGTGTTTATTCATTCCTTTTTAAAAAATGTAAAGACAGATTGAACAGTTCTAAGCAAGAAAAGGATGTTTTTATCCTTTGGTCATTCAATTTCATTTAGTCCAACTATCGGTACTGAAAATGAAATATGAAGCAAAATGCAGCTGTTAATTTTTTTTGCAGTGAAACCGTTATGTATACATAAAAAAGAACAGTGTTTGGGTATTTAAATTTGGAGTACTCTCCAGCAAGTGGACACAAGTGCTAACTTCATAAATAAGTGGTTAAAACCCCTGTAAATACATTTTGGCTTTATTTTCTTGCTGAATGACCATCAGTCATATTACCAAGTTCATATGAAGGTTATAGGGGATCCTGGAGCCTCTGGTATTAACATCATTAAAAGTGATGGTAAGTTCTGGTTCCACCAAGGAATTTTTCTCCTTCCTTCACCAGAACGCAATGGAAAGATACCAGTTGACTTTCATAGAACCACATATAGTCATCATTTTAGTATTGCTGGCCCAGGCAGCCTGCTGACATTCTTTTTTCTTAAACTGTGGTACTGAGTGATAAAGTTATTAAGCATGGTGGTATTGTGTCCTAATATAAGATGTGGTAAATTTTTTCCCCAAGTAGATGACTAGATTAGAGTCAAGTTTTTGGATGGTTTTAGCTCTGAATTCTGCTGGGAGGATTATCTGAAGTTATAGAATATAAAGAAAACATTCATAAATTAGGGTCACGGCACACATCTCATTTTTTATATCTTTATCTTTGTTGAGTATAATGTGGTTTTAGTGTTATTTATAGAGTTGCCTATTTCATAATATGGCACGAGGTTTTGGAATGCAGTTGTGCCTGTCACGTAGCTTTTCTCTGCTTTGCTGTTGGCATTGCAAGTGAATTATTTTCATTACAAGAGATGGTTTAACATACATTAAAATCCCAAATACCTGTGTGCATGCAAAACATATTTCCATTGGTAGAAAGAGAAAACGAACCCATTTTTGCAACTTGGAGCTACATCAGTGGTTTTCAACCAGGGGAGATTTTGGCCCCCAGGGTACATTTAATGGTTTAATGCCTGGAGACATTTTGTTGCCACAACTGGTGTGTGTGTGTGTGTGTGTGTGTTACAGGCATCTAGTGGGTAAGGGCCAGGATGCTGCTGCTAAACATTCTATAATACACAGGACAGGCCCCCGCAACGAAGACTGATATGGCCCAGAATGTCCATAGTGCTGAGATTGAGAAACCCTGGCACAGGGATGTAGTAGACAGCTTTTGCTTTATCACCTTTTTATCTGTATCTACTGAGTTATA